AGAGCAAACAGAAAATCACAACGGAGAAAGAAAGTGATAAAGTGACATACAGGAGGTTGTTGTTGAGCATCAAACTCAACATTTTTCTTCTTTTTCTTCCTTCTCCTTCGCTTCCTCCTCTTCATTGAAGGCTCTCCCTGCAACAAAGGTTGATAATTTCCAAGTACAGTTTTATCAACAATTATTCTGGACTCGTTTGCTACGGGTCTTTCTTCTTGCTTATCATCATCACTGCTTGCTATCAAGATAACTGAACTCTCAGCAAAGTTCCAAGGATTTTCTAATATCTCAAGAGAATCTGTTTCTGATAATTCAACTTTCTTCACAGTTTCTTCCACCATTGCAGCATCAACCTAAACCCATAAGGAGAACCAGTCAAACCAAACCACTAAATTTACATCAACAAAATCCTCAGAAAAACTAACTTTCCAAAGATTCAAAGGAAAAAACAAAAACAAGAACTTCAAGCTAAAGTTCCTTAATTTTCAGCATTTTTCCTTCTCTTACCGCATCATTTTCACTAGAACAGAACAGAAAAATAGAAGCCTACATACCATAATCTGCTGTGGAGCATCAACCTGAATGTCCCCATTCATCATCTTCTTCTTCTTCTTTCTCTGCTTCCTCTTCATTAAAGCTTCTCCCTCCATTAAAGCTTTCAAATTGTCAAACCCAGTTAGATCGGCTAGCATCCTGAACTCAGCATCTCTTCTGTTCTCTTCCTCGCTCCTTCCCGTGACACCCTCTTTCTTTTTAACCTTCCTCTTCCTCTTCCTCTTTCCCTTCTTCATCTTCATCAAAGCTTCCCCCTCCATTAAAGCTTTCAAATTGTCAAACCCAGTTAGATCGGCTAGCATCCTGAACTCACTCTGCCTCCTAATCTCCTTCTCACTACTTGCCACGGTACGGTGTTTCTTTCCCTTATTCATCTTCATCAAAGCTTCTCCCTCTATGAACCCCTTCAAATTTTCAAACCCAGTAAGATCAGCAACCATCCTTAACTCCATATCCCTCCTCTTTTCTTTTTCACTCATTTCCACATCACCC